TGGCGCAGTGGGAGTCGTGTCCCGTTGTAGTTGGTCTGGCGTAGGACCCCCTCCCTTTGGAACGGCTACAGGTAGCGGTAGAGAAAGGGACATCCTCGCAGCTGGAGGTTTTTTTTTTAATTTTTTTTTTTTAATTTTATGTAGGCTATATTATTCTCTTGTGGCCCACGGCAGTGGGGAATTGGGCCAGGGCGCATTCGTAGCTGTGTCCGTGCTAAGTAGTCACGGACGTTGGTGTCAAAATGGCAACATGGATGCTGAATTCGCACAAGCCCCAAGTCCCGCAGGTGCTATGTTCGTCCTAAGTGCGCACGTATGAAGCCGGAAACAAGACCAGATTCGTTTCCAATTAGCATGGACTAGCACTCGTGGTGGCCGGCGGTGAGTGCGCGGAGCCAAGGCGGTGGCGCCAGCGTGTCCTGACTGATTATAGGGACCGGGCCGGCTATGCGCAGGCGCCCCGCAACAGCAGCCCAGAGCCCCGGGCTATTTACGTCGGGGCTGGGACTACTACCGTCTTCCCCCGAACATAACGCACCCTTAAAATGAATGCATACAAGCTATATTTCCGGCCAGATACAGCCAAAATAAGGGTGCGTTGTGTTCGGGGGAGAACGGAGCCGGAGAGGGTCGTCGATGCCCTCAGTGGGCCGTGCGGGAGGGGAATTAGGCGGGGCGGCGCGGGTTTGGCGAATGGGAGCGCGCGGGGGGCGCGCATCTACGGGCAGTTCGGATTTCTTTCTTTCTTTTATTATTATTATTATTTTCTTTTTTATTATTATTATTTTTTTTACTTCGGATTTCTGGGGCGAGGTCCCACAGGCAGCAAAAACGAGGGTTGGATCTCACGCCTGAAACTGTACTTGTTTGCGGATACGTGCAGAAAATAGCGACTGATATGGACGTCCAGATTCAACCGTTCAATCAACTCCACAGCCTCTTTGCTAGCGGGACCTCACCCCTGGGGCGTGGTCCCACCAGCAAAGAGGATCGGATAGAAATCCTGAATCTGGCCATGTCGTATGCAGAGATACGGTTCGATCTCGATTTCCCTCTCCTGTCCTCGAACACGTCCAGATTCAGGTAATTCAATCGGATGCTCTCTTGCTAATGGGACCACGGCCCTGGAGAGCAGGGCCGTAAAGAGGAGCTGACAGAGTGGGGCGAAACGACCCGCCGGCAGCCAGCCGGCATTCCGAATCAGTCGGGATGGGGGGTGCGGTTCGATTGGCTTTTGACCATGGATGGCGGAGCATCGTCGGCCAAGGGCAGTGCTC